GTGGCCAAAGTATTTGAGTTTCATCTTCAGTATGTGACCTTCTAAAGAGCAGTCAGGGTTGATCTTGCAGTCCAAGGGACTCACAGGAGTCTTCTCCAGCACCACAATTCAAAGGCCTCAATTCTTTTGCGCTCAGCCTTCCTTATGGTCCAGCTTTCACAGCCATACATTGCAACTGGGAAAACCATAGCCTTGACTATATGCACTTTTGTCGGCAGGGTGATGTCTCTGCTTTTTAATATGCTGTCTAGATTTGCCATAGCCAACAGGAGCAAGCATCTTTTAATTTCCCTATCTGTGCTGATCTTGGAGCCCAGGAAAATGAAATCTGTCACTACCTCCATTTCTTCCCCATCTATTTGCCAGGAAGTGAGAGGACTGGATGCCATGATCTTAACCCCAATTAACATAGATCTTAAAAGAGACCACTGTTTTCTTCAGGAACTTTTGGATCTGATAGCCTACGACCTACTTAAGCACCTTGTCCACTAGGGGGTTTTTAGCCACCAACTTGTAGTTATTCAGTTCCTTTGAATTGCACCATACATTTTCAGAGGTGGACTCACTATTGTCTCCTTTAAAAGAGGGTGGGGTCATTCCTTCTTCTAACTTTGTAGCATCCTGGAACAGTCAATCATGCCATCCTACCAGCTGTAATAAGTTATGAGAAACAAGAGAAGCAAACAGGCAATTCGTTGAACTTTATCTTGTATCCTAAACACACACACACACACACATCTTTGCATCCTAAAAACTGAAAGTCATTCAACATTATCTAACCAGACAATGCCTTTGATGTCTCCATTGCCTGAACAGTAGAATCTAAGTCTTGCAATGACTTATATCATGAAGATTATGCAACTTATTTCTTGTGAGGATGTGCAGGTACCAAAAGTTTTAAAAGTATGTGTAGAAGTGTGTTTTCCTGGTTTCTGAGAAAGAAGAGAACTTCTATGAAAACTTATTTGCAATATTTGTGGTATTTGCATTATTCAGAATTAATACAAATTTGATATTCTTCAGCATGTATATTCTTTATGAAGATTTTCCTTGACAGATATATCAATGCATTCAAATTATTTCTGGGACAATTTCTCTCTCTCTCTCCCTCTCCCTCTGCCCCCTGTCCCATCCTTTTACAGGATGGTGAACATGTGGAATCTCAGCAGGAAGGGCTGTTTTATGGGGCAGAGGATACTTTGGGAGACATGCATAGCATATAGTGGCCTTTGCTTATTTTGGTATGGAATTGAAGCCATTCCTTAGATCAAAACTCAAAAAATGAGAAAGGCCCACAGTCATAATTATGAGTAACGGGAGAAGGAAAACACATGGAAAGGGAGATTTTTTGCCACTATCAAACATTCCCACAAGATGTCCCTCTAACATTAAAAATAAAGAAACAAACTATAACCATTGTAAAGCAGTGGCTTGGATTAGAATTTTTTAGATGATGGTAATGCCCTATCATCAGTTTAACTGATGAATATGGCTCCGTCTAGATAAATAGAAAGGAACTAGAAAACTAAGCAGATTGATGACTAAGGGCAGAATTGTATACATGTTTTGACAGAAATGCTAGGAGTTGTACAACTTTTTTCTTGCCTAAACATGCATAGGATTTCATCGTAAATTTCTGTGCTGAAGGATATTAGAGAAGGAAAGAGATGCTATACCACACAGAACAATATTCTGCAACTCTTTAGAGAGGACTGGTATGACAATGTACTTTGCTTTCAAGTGCATGGAATTATAGTGCATGGAATGATAAAGCTGATTGTGTTTGCTTCCTTGCTTGTTTTGTTTGCCCTCCACAAATATATTTGTCACCCAGTTAGTCCCATGGTTGAGTGGGGACTAGAAGCCAGATCTCCTGAGTCTGAGTCCCACACTCTTAACCGGTACCCCACACAGAATGGCATAGAATGTTTTGGCACAGAAACAGCTTTTGTCACTCTGTATGCTTACCTATACCAGGACAGAGATGGGTGGGGGTGACCCCCATTGATACTCCATCACAGTTTTCAGTACTTCAACCATGGAATCCTTCTGGGGCAGCTGTGGGAAACTGGGAGGGGGGTATTGTATTGCAGTGGTTCCACACTTACTTGAATGGCCAGCTCTAGTATTTGGGGAATATTGTTTGGCCTTGTGGATTCTCCAGCATGGAGTTCCCCAACAGTCATTTTTTTCTCATGCTATTCAACATGTGGATGTGCTAACCAGTGCCTGACTGCAACAATGGACTGAATGTAAGCCCCTAAACTGAAGCTTAATTCAGATAGGACTGGAGATAGGTGCAGATGGAGGGTGCTGAATCTATTCTCCATGAGGTGGAACAGCCCTTGAAGGAGCAGGTTTATAGCTTCATGGTTCTACAGGATCAATTTTTGTCACTTGGGCTCACGGGGACTCAGTGGCACAGAATGCCTTCTACCTCCTTCAGCTGGTGACCAGCTACATCCGTGTCTGGACAGGGTAGTCTGGCTTTAGTAATCTATTCTCCAAGTTAGATTACTGCAATGTACTTTCTGTGGTGTTGCTCTTGAAACATAGAAACAGTGCGAGTCAGAAGGGGCCTCTAATCTGACCCCTGGCTCCAGCTGGCTCTATCATGTTCATGTCCAGCCTATCCTTACATACCCTCACCAATGGGACTTCAACCATCTCTCATGGAAGCCAATTCCATAACCTGGGGGTCCCAACCATCAGAAAATACTTGAAGACTGTTCCGAAGCTGCAGCTTGTGCAAAACACAGCTGCCAGATTAATATTTGGTACCAGATAACTCCTGTTCTGGCCCACCTGCATTGGCTGCCTATATGCTTCCAAGCCTATATATGCTTCCAAGCCTTCCAATTTTGTATTTTGGTAAAAAAAAAGTGATTTATTTTCTTGTATTTTATAAACTGCTGTAAACCACCCAGATTGCTTTGGCTATTGGACAGCATAGAAATGAAATTTATAATAATAATATTCTTTATTGTATTCCAGGCCTGGTCTACATTTACTGAATGACAGCTTAGTTAACACTAACATTCCAGTGAAACAGTTTCTGTCTATTTTGAAGCAAAGATTAAGTTAACGAAGTATCTGGCTGGGGAAACTCTATTGTAGTTCTCAAAATACCATGACACAGAGTTTGCAATTGTATCCAGAAAACTGCACATTGCAACATGGCAAATTGTCTGAAGATCAGCGCAACTGAGAAAGTAATTATTTTCATGGTATTTGTACCAGAACTCCCTTTAGGGAGAACTGGAGGCATATTTGGCTTCCACTGATCTTCCTGTTGTTAGTGCACTGGTATCCACATTTCTACCAAACACATAGTTTATTACAGGAAACAGCTCCTCATGAACTAGTTTGGTTAATTTTGCCTGCATTTTTATTGTGAGTTCAGTAACTCAAAATAAAACTAAAAACAAAAATACTCACAAAATAATTTATTAGCTTCTTGCATAAGGTCTGAATATAAATTGCAATAGATACATAAACAACAAATACATACATATATGTGTGTGTTAAAGTAAAATATACTTTTTAAAGTTTTCAATTGTTTCTTCAGATCTTCAAAATTCTGCTGTACAACACCAAGTACAGTAACAGCCATCCATACTTCTAAAATGCTAACCAATGGTATGCATGGAAATAAACCTATATATGGCCTTCAAATATCAATGACAGCAGTTGAATTACTAGGATTGACACTGTGAGGCACTGTTGCACTCACGCTGCACTTGTGCCCTTTCTACAGGTGTTTCACTGTGCAAAGAGAATGTGGGACTACATAGGCCACTTGTATGATCCAGTAAGGCTGTTCTTATATATCCCCTAACATTATCCTCTCAGGCAATGCTTTGCATTTGCCACCCTTTTTTTTTTCCTTGTTTAATTCCTGAGACTTGTGCACTCATGCTGCACTGCATGCGAGTGTAACTTTTAGCATGCTGTTTAAAGAAATGAACAACCAGCCAGCGATCCTTCTCTCTCAAACCATTTTTCACTGGCATGCTGTAACCATCCTGAATGAGAGGCTGAGCTGTACATAAAACTGACATGCCCTCCTGCAAAACAAAATGAAATAAGCCCCTTTCTTTGCAAGGCGGTTATGTGCCATCATGTCTTCTCCAACTTATGATGAACCTACAAATAAAAAACCCTCCAGAATGCCCTGTCCATGGCAGCCCCATGTAGCTTTTCTAAGTTCAATCCTGTGGCTTCCTTTATAGATTGAATCCATCTCGTATTTTGTCTTCCTTTTCTTCCTCTGCCTTATTTATTTACTTATTGCATTTGTATGCTGCCCCATAGGTCCAGGGCTCTCTTCGACTTTGTCTAGCATGATTGTCTTCTTCAGTGATTCTTGCCTTCTCATGACATGTCCGAAGTATGACTGCTTCGGGGTTGTCATCTTTGCCTCTGGAGAAGCTGTGGCTTGATCTGATCCTGGACCCACCTGTTCGTCTTTCTATTGGACCAGCACCATGTTCGGGATGCATTAAGACTGGTAAAGCAAATTTAAAGTCCCTTGCAGCACAACGCGCTTTAGCTGAGCTTACTCAGACGCAAATGCCATTTAAGTCACCGGCCTTACTCTTAAGTAAATGTGTATAGGATGGCCGCTGATGCGTCTCTGTTCAAGAGGAGCGAACAGTGATAACGGCAAAAACACTCTACAACTCTTCGCACCCAGGGAAAGTTAACCCAGGACAGCGCCTTTCTCCATCCCGACTCGGCCCAAAACTGCGATTGGCTGTGTGCAGCTGACTTCGCAGTGAGCGCAGGAAGAAAGCCGTGGCCTGATCCCCACCCGCGAGACTCCTTTGTTTCCCTTTCCTCCGGCTGCCCCGGAAGCGCGAAGCGAATTAGAGGAACAAAAGCGCCGGCTCAGCGGAACAGGAGCGTTGCCCGGCAACCGCCCCTCCTTCCCTCGCACAGCGAAGAAACGGCCGGAGCCGCGGCTGTGCGGCGCATGCTCTGTTCGCTCGGAGGAGGAGACAGGGCGGGCGAGCGAGGCCCGCTTCCCCTTCCGGCTGGTGCCTGCCTTGGCCGCCGGCTCCTGTCAGGATGGGAGTCGGGAGAGAGGAGCTGCGGAGCCTGCTCTTGGCAACAGGTATTACGATCGCGGCGTCGCTGTCGGCTTGGCGGTGGCGCAGAGGCCGGGCTTGGGATGGAGGGAAGCGGAGCGTGCGCCTGGGGAGGGCGGGGCGGGGGGGGGCGGCGGCGGAGGAAGGCTCGAAAGCGGCGGCGCTGGGGGAGCGGGCGACCGGAGAGGGCTTGGGGCAGACTAGTGGGACCCGTGGATGAGCGGGGCTGTGGGCGGCAGGCCGCCCTCTTTGAGGAAGAAGAGGAGGAGGAGGAGGAGGAGCAGGTGGCTGAGGGAAGTGACGAGGAAATGATACCGCGTATGGGGTGATGCTGCAGGAAGTGGGCTGGAGGGGAAGGCAGGCGATGGCCAGATCTCTGCACTACTGACTCCAGGGCCAGGGATGGGCACCTGCTAGGGAAGCCCAGCGGCTCGACCAATGGCCACCTGCTGCTGAGCTGCAATGGGGCCCTTGCTGAGAGCTAGGGAACTCTCCTAAGCTGTGTGTATAGAAACCAACAGCCTTTCCTTGCCCACCCATTCATATTTGTAGGACAGGTGGCCCAGGGCAGCAGGCACCTGTGAAGGTCCACGAGCAAGCGATGTGCCAAGGATGGACCACCGCCGTCTTCTAATTGCATGCCTGCCTGCTCGCTCACTCACTTGGGGGGATACAACAATAAGGAGTGTGTGGACCAGAGAAAGTTTGGGTTACTTCTGGTTTGGCTTGTTAAGCTCTTTTCTCTCCCCTCCCCTTCTATCCCCACAGGGGGAATGGAAGCCAGTGGAGTTTCCCAGAAGCACAAGTAATATAGTAATTCTAGGAGCTGTTGTATCTTCCTCTTGGTTGCACATCCTCTCTTCCGATAGCATCTGTGCTTCAAGGGCAGTGGTGGGTGGGGGAGGAATTAGGAGATGTGCTCAGTGAGTCTCCTGCCCTTACTTTATTCCATTCTTAACTGCAGAGAAGAGATGTTTGTGTTGGCTGCCTCATTTGCTTACACAGTCACCATGCTTCTCTCCCAGTAGGTAGAAATGCTTGGAGGCTGGTGAATCTGTCCTTCCTACTGTGCCATTTTGAGAGAAGGTAGTGTAAGCAAGTAGGCAGAAGGCCATGGAACAGATGAGCGAGCAAAGAGTTGGAACATTTGCTTCTTGTGTAAGCATTTCTATGTCTGCTTGCATACCTGCATTTATCCCTTTGGGCATAATAAAAGTTCTAGTTCCATGGGCCTACTTCTTACTACTGCCACATCAAGAAAGAAAAGGCTGGCAAGGTGTCAAAGATAGCTGCTTGAATCTTGGATTCTGTTTCTAATGCCCCAAAGAAAAAGCATATGCATGATATGTTAACGTTTGCCCTGTTATGTGCGTTTTTGCTCATGCATTGGAAAGGGCTGGGATGGTGAGGGAAATGATGATGCCTGTATATTCCAATTGAGATAGCATCAAGACAGTTCAGAGTTTTTCTTGAAGTATAAAGCTAGTTGGAACTCAATTTGGAGGTGCATTAGACATCAGTAATCTGGAGAAAGCATATTTTATAAGTGGCCTTTCTATGTAAGTTAATTGTATAGGTGATATAAAATATACTGGATAGTATATGAACTTGGATTGGTGTGTTTCAGTTAATGCCATAGATATTACTAGGATATGTTTTCGTTTTCTCTTCTGCCACCTGTTCTTCCAGTAGCTGCTGGCCTTATATTTGCTGTAGATGCATCTTTTGTGGAAGATTTAGATGACTCGTAAGTATATAGTTTTTTTTTCTTAAGAACTGTGGCTTTAAAGATTTGCTTTTATATATTTATTGGAAGGCTTTGAATCATTGGTGGGTTGCTTCATATTTTATGCTGTTTTTGTGTTGAGTGTGTTGAGTTTTATGAATACATCCCACCATTATCAAATGGTAGTATTTTTTGCCTTTTTGTTGCAGATATGGTATTAGGACTAATGAGGGCATATTCAAAAAGAAGCTAAAATATGAACTTGCTTACATGGTTCCTATTAATATATTGCCTGCTATTTCTAGACAATGTACACTGTACAGGAATTAAAAACACAAGCCCTATCTACAGTTTGTTGAATAGGCTCAGAGTATCTTAAGACATAGATATTCTTGTTCTTCTGATCAGTTCTATTTGAAAGTTATGGCCAGGCACTCTTTGTATCCATCTCCAATGTCAGTTGAAACATCCCAAACAAAATTTTATACATTTTTGTACAAATTCTATGTTTGCAGGAAAGAAATGCCCCCTACTTAGTTTGTAAGGTTTCATTATTAAAATAAAAATGAAATATAAGTGCATTAGAATTTTGAAATGAGCAAAGGATGAGACTTTGCAGAAATGAAGCACTTTAATGACATCTAAAAATTCCAACTGAGCTTGGCAAATCTCATTTCAGTAGCAGTTCCATAAGATTGGTACCAATTGGGCTGTGCTGAGAAGGACTGATATGCTATTACTTCAGAAATGTCTCCTGAAGCAGAACATATCATTTTTTCACACTCATTTTACTGTTGATCTCAGGCAGTTATTATTGGAAGAACTTGATGCCAAGGGAAGAGGAAAATATGTTACTTTCATACTCACCTTGGTGCATTTGTTGAAGAACTAATAAGGCAGGAATCTTCAAAACTAACTCTACTTTGTAGAAATGTACTTCTAACATATAAATACCTCTGTCTTATTAAAAAATATTTCATCAATTTTCATAGGTTTAAAGAGAATAGAAAAGATGACATTTGGCTTGTAGATGTGAGTACAATATTATAAAAACTTTATTCAAAACTTTATTACCCCCTACTTTGCTTTTTTTCCTTTAAGGAATTCTACAGTTCATTCAATGTTTATTGTAATCTCCTGCAGATGGTACTCCAGTTATATCTGCAAAATAGTGAATTGCTCTTATTGTGAGTTTATTATAATATACGGTGCAGTGTAGGCACTGAACTGCTTTGTAGCCATCGGCACAGGGTTTGTATGCTAGAAAAACCTGAAATATTAAAGATGATACATACAAATGGATAAACTGTATTGAGAGTATGATAATCCAGAAACTATTTTACTTGCAGTCTTGTAAGCATATAATTGTCTGGCATATAACAGCTGAATAATAAGTAAATAATAAGATAATGGTTCTGGAGATCACTGTAATGAATAGCACTTTTAAAGAAACTGGCATATAAAATCATTTGCTTTTTAATGGCTTTTTATTAATACTGTTTTAATACATTTTCTGAGTTTTGCATATTTTGAATATTTAGAACAAGTACTCTTTAACTGAATTGATATTTATAATTCACATACAAATTTTAAAAACTAATTTTGCTGCAGAAATCTGTTTGGCAGTATAGCAAATAACAATTTAAAAAACTCTATATATACTGCTCAGGAATGCATTTGGTGGACATTTGAAAAAAATGTGATATTGCCCATGAACTTACAAATTATCAAACTTATGTTGTTTTTTTTAAACAAATCAACAATGATAGATAATTTTCAGTAGTTCTGAATGCTGAGTATACGTTTTCATGTGTTGTGAACTACGGAAGTGGGGCATATCCTAACTGTCCTTATATAAAACTAGTTCCTGTATTAGTTATTGTCACTCAGGGAAGTAATTATAAATAATTCTCTGGTCTAGCACTGAAGACATCTGTAACAGTTAAACTAGCAGAATCTTAGGAATACAGTACAGATGTATTTTATATGAACTCTCTTTCTTTCTGTGGGTACAAGCATATATAAAATGGCTTTGTTTTGATTAGAATACAACATTTTAAAATAGGTGATGCAATTTAGGCATAATAAAGCATAGAAATCAACCAAAAATACGGTCAGCGGAACAATCCTGTGGCCTATAGACATTGTCTAGCAGCTATAGGATTTTTCTGATTCTCAAATAAGGTTGAAAAAGTTACACTATGGAATTAAATTGGCAGGCTTAAAAATCAACACAAACAGAAATAAACCATACTTATTCCCTGCTGTTTCCTAGAAATCTTACTAAAAGCAGTTAGTTTAAGTAATAAATGATCCATATCATTATTACATGAATATTAAACTTTTCTTCCATAAACTGCTGGAAAAAGAAGTAAGCAGAAGATAGGATAGTCTGTAAAAATCAGTTAGTGCCAAAGCCTTAAGTACTTTTATCTGTCTTCTAACAGGAATAAAATAATACCATAATTTTCTCATACTTATCCTAAAACACTTAGATTTACAAGATTTAAAAACTAAATTTGGAAAAGTCCCATGGAAGGCAATTTGTACAAGTTTCAAGTTTCAAAATCATATGTGATTGGTTAATTTTGTTTCTCAGTTTTATGCACCATGGTGTGGCCATTGCAAGAAACTAGAGCCAGTGTGGAATGAAGTTGGCAAAGAAATGGGAAGCATCGGTTCTCCAGTAAAAGTTGGGAAGATGGATGCAACTTCCTATTCTAGTAAGTGCACTGCTAAAGTCGTCTGTTGTATCTTTTTTTTCAGTGTGATAGAAAAGGTAACTAACTAATCAACAGCATAAGTGCATGAGGTAATATATAGGTATTGGCACAGATATTGAGAGATGAGTGAGTGCATGGGCTAGGCATTTTATTCTGTTACAGTAGGAAATATGCTGCCAATGAATCAGGGGGAAAAGTTCCTCATCAGGCAGCATGTTTCTATCATAATTCCAGTGTAGGAGCAGCAGCTGTAAGTAACAGAATTTTTGATGCAATGTATTACAGTTGTTTTCACAAAAGTGCCAGTAAAATATTTGTTAGACTATTTGAATTGTGGCAAGAGAAAAATATACTTTTAGATTGTTAATTACACTATTTTTTGTAGGTATTGCCTCTGAATTTGGAGTTCGAGGCTATCCAACAATTAAGCTGTAAGTAGAACCTATGTCTTACATCTTAAAATGCTAATCTGTTGTAGTGTCACTAACATCTGCTGCAATAAGTATTCTGTTGATATATACTAAATGTAGACCAATGTTTTATTTTCTCCATTACTGTCTCATTTAAAAGGTAACTGGTATTGCGAAGAATAATGATCAGTTCTTCACTTCTTGCTTACTTTTGCAGTGTAATAATGCTTTTGAAATGTGTCACCTCTCCTTGTTCATAAAATGTGAACCCCATGTGCAGCTATTTTCACAGATATTGTCTTATGGAATGTACTTCATCCAATATTTTATTCAGGTTAAAGGGTGACTTGGCATATAACTACAGAGGACCCAGGACCAAAGATGATATTATCGAGTTTGCAAACAGAGTAGCAGGGTAAGTATTTAAAGGGTTCAATCAGATGTAGCATATGGGATAGGTGTTGATGATATTTTGGAAAAGGCTAACGGAAAATGTGGATAAGGTAGTCCATAGGGTCTACAGCAGCCAGGATGTTCTATGCCATAATTGACAAGAGACCCCATTTTGCTGAAATAGCTTGATCTCTCCTGAAAGGTTGTATGAAGCAACACCTTGAGTTCTATAAATAAAATTTATCAAAACTGTGTATTTAAACTGCCATAGATATATGTGAGCCCTTCATCTTGTTTTCACACAGAAAATTCCACTTTTACTGAGTCCACTTCAACATTCCCTTTATGATTTCTTCTGTATCACCCTTAGATTGCTCTCTTGCAAAGTGTTCACATAACTGGAGCCATTAATTCTGTGGACTTGATGGCAACTATGGTTAAATGTAAGAATTTGATACCCAATGTGCCTTGACTATTATATTACTAATGTATGTACCTATCATTCTAAGGTCAGTCCCTTCTTATGTTGTCAGAAAGGAAGGGGAAAACAACCTTGTTTGCTGTTGTCATTTAAAGTGGTTTTCAGTTAAGCCTGTGCATAAATAATTGTTGATAAAGTGATGCTTCTAACAGTATTCTGCTAATAACATTTTTCTAGACCAATCGTCTTTGGTTTAGTCATAATTAAAACAAACTTGCAGATTGAAAAACTTAAATATAGCATCTAATTACCCAGCATGAGTCTTTTTGGTTATTTGAAGCAAACTATTTAAAAAAAAACAATTTGTTTTTTTAATTATGTTTCTCATGTAAAATAACATTAGTATTTTCCAGTTGTAAAGTATCTTTGAGTACACTTCCATTAGTTGTGAAAGAATTATGTAAAGCAATTTAATGTCGTGTTTAAACAGAACTGTTATTATTATATCTTTTTTAATGTCAATTACTAGAAGAGTTCAAAAACTAAAGACATAAGAGAAGTCATACTGAAACAGGCCAGAGGACTATCTAGTACAGCATTTGTTCACCCAGTGTCCAACCAGCTTCCTTTAAGAAAACTACAAATTGGACAAGGGTGCAATAGCACCATCCTGCCTGTTTTTCTCCGTAGCTGGTATACAGAGACCATTTTTTTTTTTAACAATACAGCTCCCCTAGGAGAAAAAAATGGGGCAAAATGCATCTGAGTGCATGATGAAACTGTAATTCAGCATCTTTAATTAAATCTTTGACACTTTCTATATGTCTCTATTAATGATGCAACTGTAGAGCATAATTGCTGAGCTGCTAAGTTCAAACAGGATGATGCAATACTCACTAACGACTTGTAGCAAGGTTTTTCCTTTTAATGTTTAAAAGAAAGCTTTATGTTGAAGGCAAAAGTATACTAATGCTTTTCATACATTCTGCTGATAATCAAGAACTTACATTATTATTCTTCAGCATTGTCATCTGACACCTAAAAGTTAATCATTTAATTAAAAATAAAAATGAATTTTTTCAATGTTTGTATGGTTGGAACTTCAACAGCAGTTAAAAGCTTAGAATAGACTAGCTGGTGTGCCTGAGCTTTACTTTGTCTGCTAAGTACTTGGTTCAGCTTTAAACGTATGCACACAGGATTATTAAAACATCCCATCCGTTCAAGTAAATCAAAATTGGAAGTTAGAACAAACTGTTTTGTTTCTCTTTGTTTCTTGCTCATGTTGATCTGTTTTCCCCTTCTGTCCTTCAGACCTATTATCCGACCCCTCCCTAGCCAGCAGATGTTTGAGCATGTGCAAAAGAGACATCGTGTATTTTTTCTGTACGTTGGTGGGGAATCTCCATTAAAGGTTTGCAACTTTGCAAAATAGAAGGATCCCTTTTAAAAAAAAATCTTGCTCATTACAAAAGTATGCTCTAGTAGAAAGCATCTCAGCCCTGTATATTGTACTAAGAGTATAAAATAACTATATACATTTTAAGGGTTCTGCAAAGTTATTTAATATCTTGGCAAAATTGCTTTGCCAGATTGTGATTTGAAATATTGACCTAATCCAAAGTTGCAAGAGTGTACTTCCTCTTGCTCTTCTCTCCTTCATAGCTGCCTTCTCTGAAGGGTCCCCCAACTTTTCAGAACAGATTTGGGAGCTGTGTTTAAAGGGTCAGGAGGAAACTGTTCTTTCAGATCATCCACTGCTGGATGGTCATGGGTGGGTATTACCACCTGAAGCACAATATAAGTTATGAAGATTGGATAACATCTGAAAAATAAGCGTGTGTTTGTGGTGAATGAGGTATTTGTGACAGTTTGGAGTGGGGGAAAACTGTCAGTAGTAATTTTTATTAGTGCACTATGATAATGTTGAAACACAGAAAAGTACAAATAGCAAAAGAGAGAAGCAGTAGTACAATGTATTTCTTTAACAAAATACACTGGAGCAAAGGATAGGCAAAAATGTGTATGGTCTGCCATTTAACCCTGCAGAAAATATGTTATTATGATTTAGACATTTGTATAATTTCCAGGCAAATTGTATGATCATTGTGAATATCTTTTCCCCATCCCACACCCTGGGAAACCTTCCCTTTAAGTGCTAATGAACATTTCAGTGTGAATACTGTGTTAAAAAGTCATTTTTCTGCAGATATATGAAGACTGAGACAATGTTTTAAAATACCTATTTGTATCTTCACAGGAAAAATACATAGAAGTTGCTTCCGAACTAATTGTTTATACATACTTTTTTTCTGCATCAGAAGAGATACTACCTGAGGTATATTTATTTACTCTTTTTTATATTTATATTCCACTTTTTTCCATTTAAGGAATTCAATGCATCTTACATAATTCTCCTGCTCCTCTCAATCCTATGCCCACAAAAACAACCATGTGAAATAGGTTGTGCTCAGATTCTGTAACTGGCTCAAAGTCACCTAGTTGTCTCTGTGACTGAGTGGGGAATAGAACCCAGACCTCCTGAGTCCCAGTAACACACTTAACCACTACATCATTGAAAGCGTTATACTGATTCCTATTAAGGTGTATATCACAACTCTGTTTTCTTCATGTTACTTTACAAAAGAAAGAACCCAACTACAGCATTGTTAAGAGCTGATTAAATGTTACCAATAGATATATTGGCTGTTTGTTTTGATGCAGTTGATTTATTGCAAGAGTTCCATCCTTTTATGAACATGGCTACAATGTTGCTAGGCTTTGTTCTAGTATCAGCTAAAAACAAACAAAAATAGTTCAACCATAGACAAGTAACTAAGACAAAGTCAGAAAGAGTTCATTTTACATTTATTCTTTTATAGCACATTTTAATTATTTCTAATTGATTGTAAGCCATCCTGAGATGTCATACAGAAAAGATGGCATATAAAAGTTTTAAATAAATTTGTTGTTGTTGTTAGTCACGAAGTCATGTCTGACCCATCGCGACCCCATGGACAACATTCCTCCAGGCCTTCCTGTCCTCCACCATCCCCTGGAGTCCACTTAAGCTCACACCAACTGCTTCAGTGACTCCATCCAGCCACCTATCCTCTGCCGTCCCCTTCTTCTTTTGCCATCTGTTGTTCCCAGCATTAGGTTCTTCTCCAGGGAGTCCTTCCTTCTCATTAGGTGGCCAAAGTGTTTGGGTTTCATCTTCAGGATCTGGCCTTCTAAAGAGCAGTCAGGGTTGATCTCCTCTAGGACTGACCGGTTTGATCACCTTGCGGTCCAAGGGACTTGCAGGAGTCTCCTCCAGCACCACAATTCAAAGGCCTCAATCCTTCGGTGCTCAGCCTTCCTTATGATCCAGCTTTCACAGCCATACATTGCAACTGGGAAAACCATAGCCTTGACTGTACACACTTTTGTTGGCAGGGTGATGTCTCTGCTTTTAGTATGCTGTCTAGATTTGCCATAGCTTTCCTCCCCAGGAGCTAACGTCCTTTAATTTCTTGGCTGCCGTCGCCGTCTGCAGTGATTCTGGAGCCCAGGAAAATAAAATCTGTCACTACCTCCATTTCTTCCCCATCTATTCGCCAGGAAGTGAGAGGACCGGATGCCATGATCATAGTTTTCGTAATGTTGAGTTTCAAGCCAACTTTTGACTTGAACCCACATCAAGAGGCTCTTTCGTTCCTCTTCACTTTCTGCCATGAGAGTGGTATCATCTGCATATCTGAGGTGGTTGATCTTTCTCCCAGCAATCTTAATTCCAACTGGTGATTCATTTAGCCCTGCCTTTCTCATGATGTGCTCTGCATATAAGTTAAATAGGGTTTCTCCTTTCTCAATTTTGAACCAATCAGTGGTTCCATGTCCAGTTCTTGACCCGCATATAGGTTTCTCAAGAGACAAATGGTCTGGTACTCCCATCTCTTTAAGAACTTGCCACAATTTGTTGTGATCCACACAATCAAAGGCTTTAGCATAGTCAATGAAGCAGAAGTAGATGTTTTTCTGGAACTCCCTAGCTTTCTCCATGATCCAGCATATGTTGGCAATTTGATCTCTATTTCCTCTGTCTCTCTGAAATTCTGCCTGTACTTCTGGTAGTTCTCAGTCCACATACTACTGGAGCCTAGCTTGTAGGATTTTGAGCATCACTTTGCTAGCATGTGAAATGAGTGCAATGGTGCGGTAGTTTGAACATTCTTTGGGATTGCCCTTATTTGAAATTGGAATGTAAGGTGACCTTTTCCAATCCTGTGGCCACTGTTGAGTTTTCCAAATTTGCTGGCATATTGAGTGTAGCACTCTTACTCCATCGTCTTTTGATTTTGAATCAAAATCAAAATTTGAATCAAATTTTGAATCAGATTTTGAATAGCTCAGCTGGAATACTGTCACCTCCACTAGCTTTGTTGTTGCTCAGACTTCCTAAGGCCCTTTGACTTCACATTCCAGGATGTCTGGCTCGAGGTCAGTGACCACCCCATTGTGCTTATCAGGGACGTTAAGCTCTTTCTTGTATAGTTCTTCTGTGTAATCTTGCCACCTCTTCTTAATCTCTTCTGTCTCTGTTAGGTCCCTGTCATTTTGGTCCTTTATCATGTCTATTTTTGCATGAAACGCTCCCTTCATATCTCCAATTTTCTTGAAGAGATCTCTGGTCCTCTCTACTCTATTGTTTTCTTCTATTTCTTTGCACTGATCATTTAAGAAGGCATTCTTATCTCTTGTAGCTATTCTCTGGAATTCTGCATTCAATTGGGTGTATCTTTCTCTTTCTCCCTTGCCTTTCGGATCCCTTCTTTCCTCAGCTATTTGTAAAGCTTCCTCAGACAGCCATTTTGCTTTCTTGCATTTATTTTTCTTAGGGATGATTTTAGTTGCTATCTCTTGTACAATGTTGCGAACCTCCATCCATAGTTCTTCAGGCACTCTGTCTATCAGATCTAATTCCTTAAATCTATTTGTCACCTCTACTGTATATTCATCAGGGATATGATTTAGGTCATACCTGAGTGGCCTAGTGCTTTTCCCTACTTTCTTCAATGTAAGCCTAAATTTTGCAACCAGAAGCTCATGATCTGAGCCACAGTCAGCTCCTGGTCTAGTTTTTACTGACTGGGTAGAGCTTCTCCATCTTTGGCTGCAGAGCACATAGTCAATCTGATTTCTGTGTTGACCGTCTGGTGATGTCCATGTGTAGAGTCGTCTCTTGGGTTGTTGGAAAAGAGTGTTTACTATGACCATCGCATTCTCTTGACAAAATTCTACCAGCCTGTGCCCTGCTTCATTTTGTACTCCAAGGCCAAGTCGCTTCATTCTTTCTGGTGCTACTAGTACTAGCCCTCTTTTCTTTCCCAGTAGCATATTGGATACCTTCTGACCTGAGGGGCTGTATGGGGTTTTCATGGCAAAGATACTGGAGTGGGTTGCCATTTCCTTTTCCAGTGGATCACATTTTGTCAGAGCTCTCTGCTAAGACCTGTCTGTATTGGGTGGCCCTGCACAGCACAGCACAGCTCATAGCTTTACTGAGGTACGCAAGCCCCTTCGCCACAACAAGGCAGTGATCCATGAAGGGGATAATTCCTTAGCAACTAAATAAGTATTTTTAGTGACTCTAATATACCTTTGGGTTTAATGCTATGAAGCTGTTTTAATTTACTCAAGGGATTATCCTATCTCTGTGTTGTCTTGGGATCTGTTCCTCTTTGTGTTACTTTTCTTGTTATCCTCAGAGTCCAAAACCTTGACAACCAGGAGAAGGAGTTTGGGGCCATTTAATGTAGTATTATCAGCACTGACTTGGTAGTGCCTCTCCAGGCTTTCAGGTTGACATGGAAAAGTCAGCACAACTTGTCAAAAGTCTGTCCAGATAATTTTGTTAAAAATTTCACCTGACAACAGAAAGACACAAAGGAAGAATCTTTGGTAGAAAGCAAGATATGCAATAGCTATTTTGCACCTTCACACACTTGTTTACTTTAGCATCTTCAGTGTATTTTATAGATGTTTCTAAGACATCACAGTGACCAAACTCATCAAGGGGTAAAAAGAACAAAACAAAAAAAAAAATTAAAATATTGACACATTTTCCTTCTCAGAGAAGATCAACAAGTTGAAATTTCACAGGTTTGTTTCATGTGCCATTAAAGTATTTTAAATCCTTTTTTTTCTATATTGCATTTTCAGCATGTGACACTCCCAGAGATGCCAGCTGTTCTGGTCTTCAAAGATGGAACTTATTTTGTATATGATGGTAAGTAGGGTTGGGGGAAACCCTCTGTCTAGTATTAGCAGAGAACCTCTTGTGCTTGGCCTAGTCTTGCAAAGTGAGCCAAGCCAAGAGGGAAGACCATGAACATTCATGGAACAAAGATTGTGCAGCTGGCAGCAGTCTTTTGCATCAGATACAGCAGTGGGTCTTCATTCCTGCTGAGCCCTGTACAACCTCCCTTCTTCTACATCAGATGCAGCAGTCCAGACAGCTGCTATACATGTTATATAAGGGGGATGCTGCTTATCCAGCACATGGGGCTAGATTCCTGACAAGTGCCTTGCAAATGCTGGATACACATAGCAGGAATTGGGACTCTGGGCCACTGCAAAGTGGACTAAAGTCCAACGATCTGAGCCCAGGGAATCTTACAGATTCCCATTCCCAAATAGATTCATCACACATCCATTATTGTAAGTTCATGTACGTATGAGATCAAAGGTACTTTCATATACCACTAATAAGCATAGGATTAATTTCTCTGCATTTCAAAGATTGTAGCCATCCCTTAGCCCAAATCTCAGTGTTGTCCTTTTTTACTTAAAAGGGATAGCAAGATGTGTACTTGGCAACGCACTATCCTTTTATAGTTATACATTGAAAAAATGGAAGCATGCTGGCTCAAATTCGGATTGCCACATGAGGCAAACATACCTTACAAACAAGTAGATGGCACTTCAAATTAGGTTGTTCCTGGTATCACCATACAAACAGGTTTTCTGGAAATACCACTTGTGCAACATGTTTTGTTGGACTTAAAGTATATTATTTATTGATTATTAAGTGATTCATGCAAGCTAGCTAGACCTTACCATTATTAACAGCACAATCCTGTGGCCACAAGACAGTATCTAACCATCCATAGGATTTTTCAGAGACCCACATTTACAAGGTCAGAAAATATCCAATCTTGTAGCTGGTTCTGCATGCTTGAAATACTCCTGTCTCTCCACAGCCAGCACTGAAAGAATTGTATTGGTTATGTCTCTGGTGTCGCAAAAGTAACCTGGAGACATGATTTAGGCTACAGGCATGAGCGTTTTCAAGAAAGGAAGAGCCTTCTTCCCTCCTAGTCCAAAATTCTCCACTGAGCTGAAATCAGCAGTTTAAGTGTTTTGCTGGGAGCAGTGAGTACAGGGGTGACTGTTACCTCCACACATTTTCTTTCCTCCATAAGATGCCTGTAATCCTTCAGAGAGCTACAGATAGCTAGATTAGTTGTATCTTAATTTGCTTAAAAAGTGATTATGTGTATGGGTGCAATGAACCATGTAGAACCACAAATTATTAGTTATTCTGACTTCCACTCACACCTGAGCATTGTTTCCTCAACAAGCAACTACCTTAAAAAACCTGTTGTGTAAAATAATTAGGACTGAAAGTGATTTTTAAAAACAGCAGTATGGCATGTCTTTTAAGGATAAGAACAGAGCAATATTGACTATATTGTAAACTGCCCAGACAGCCTTATGGATATGATAGCACATAAATCAAATAAAACAAAGTGTGATATTATTCACACCGCTTTTACATTCATGAGAACATGCAATTGTATTGTTATAAATAAGTCCCTGAAGAAAATGTTGCAGTATAACATTGCACATGAGTATTATTTGAGCCTATTGGTAATGGGACTGGGGAAAAAAACGAGATAGCACCAGGGTCAGGATTTCCTGTTCTTAGTTGAAATGATATTTCAGTGCAGAAAACATGTTGTTAAAAAGTGCGACTAGATGGTGTGCAGGTCAGTAGGGCAAAGCAGTTCTCTGTGCAGGTGAGTGCTGAGTTTGGCTGCAAATGATGTTTTGGGGACAATTTAAGTAGAGTGACCTTAAGCTGTGGAGGTGTTTTGGAGATCCAGCTTTGACCTACAATATTAGCAATGGACTACGGTGAAGCATGGTAGTAAGCTATTCTTAGTGCCATCTGCAACAGTATAACAGGAACTATATATTTTTCTCTCAGCAGAGACCTGACTTGAACAGGTCTCTGCTACCTCTAGGCAATGTTGTAGAGGGCTTAATTGGTGTGAACTATACTATAGGGCTGTCATAAACCATACTTCCCAGCTACAGCCTCTTCCAAGCTTCAGTATGAAATCAGTGAACTGCATTTTCTTTAGAATGTTCATTAGTATTTTAACATGTTTCATATTACAAGTGTGTTTGAAAGGGTGGGAAATTATCTCTTTGTTTTCAGTAGGGATTTTTTTTCTTAGCCTTGGCAACATGAGTATCCTACATTTTCTGTTGATTTCTATGGGAACTTTCACTCCTATTACTAGGGATATTTTAAAATACTCTCAGTTCAAATCTGAGAATGAGCTCCCCCTTCTTTCTCTCTCATTCTCACAATCTCTTTTCAGATTTATCTGTTTCCTCCATCTCCTTCTGTTTGTCTCTTTCAGGGGCAAAAAGAGTAAGAGACAAACAGAGCCAAAAGACACAAGAGGAAGAGATGCAGGGATATAATTGCATATCTTCTGGCCTCTTCCTTTCTGCCTCTATGGCCCTTGCCTTCTATCTCAGCTGGCTTTAATGCTTGCTTGCCAGCTAATCACTGATAGTTTTGAAGCCTACTGGGCATGCACTTTACAAGCTACTTCCATCCAGTTAATTCCATTCCTCCTTCCCAGTTTCCCTTTCCAGTTGATTCCATGGCTACTGGGCATCTTCAGTCCTCATTAAGCTGTTTGGGGTCCACCATCCCCTTACACTTTTCTGTTTCTGAAGAGGTTTTTGTTTTGTTTCTATTTTTATACTTCTTGAAGCCTCATAATTTCCATAAGCCTGCTGACACATCACTTTTGTTGGTGGATGCTGCTGTTTAGCTATATATGAGTTGTCACCTGGAGATTAAGTTTGTTGTTATTATATGCAATTATGGGACTAGAAGACATTTGTCAGTATGAACTTCTGATAACATTTTCCCCTGCCTCTTTTTCTGCATTTTTTAAAGAATATGAAGATGGTGATTTGTCATCTTGGATAAACAGAGAGAGATATCAGGGGTACCTTACTGTAGATGGATTTACACTTTATGAACTTGGAGACACAGGTATGCATTTCCTTCAGACTTTTATCATATGTTGTGTAACATTTCTGTATCTTAAGTCAGACGCAATTTTTGGAATCCTTAGAAAACATTGGTTAACATGTGTTTTCCACCCATAGACTTTCAGTTCTACCAATTCTGTTGCAAGAATACTAAACATCCATATCATTACTTAATAATAAGAAATTGCCAGGACATTCCAAAATTCCTTTCTTTTGGATATCTGAAATGCTAGGCCAATCAATCAATCAATCAATCTCCAAGTAGGCATGCTACCTTTAAATGGGAAATCAATTTCAAGAATGAAATCTTCAAACTGTATGGTACCATCCCAAGATATCTGTAGCATGTTCTTTTACTGGACAGATATATCAGCCCATATTGAGAACAAAAATCAGTATTGTATAAAATACAAACAAGGTGCCTTAAAAAGAAAGTTACTCATGGTAATGGGGATTTCCTAAACTATATGACTTCAAATTATCATTTTTCAGAGTTTTGCTGCTTCTACAAGACCTGCTTATTTAAGAAAGTGTTTAGTGGCTTGGGATGAGCTGGGCTTTAATATTCATTTGATTTTCTAATAGCATAATAAATGATAAAGCATGGATTGGTTAAACAGTGAGGTGTTTGTTATGTGCCTTTGCAGGTTGAAGAATACAAAATCTAAGATAGATGTTTCATTTAGCTGCATTTGGTTCTTTGTTTTAGGAAAACTAGTAGCTGTTGCAATTATTGATGATAAAAATATTTCTGCTGAGCATACAAGGTAAGTTGATGAGTTATTCTGTATGTGCAAACAAAATGAAACCTCTTGAACTAAATTAAGACCTTGTAAAGATTTCAAGTGTTATATGTGTGTTCCTTTAAATGTTGGTAAATGTTGGTAAGTTTCAGAGTAAGGTGGTGATTGGTAACTGAGAATCTATGGGCAGAGCTTGGAAGTGTGTGAAGAGAGAGAAATAGATGCTTTCAGACAGTCAGTTACTGTCTGTCAGCAGTTGCAGCTGGTTGGAATCAGTCAAGAAGTCTGAAGAATCTGAAGAGGATGCCTTCTCTTTAGAATCCTACAGGAGCTCTGGAAGGCATTTAGGATTCATAAGGAATGGGAAGGAATAGAATTCTTAAATAACATGTTAGGGATCAGGAAGAGTCAAAACCTAACGTCAAATATTATATGGCTGTGAGTGATAGAAGCTGACGAGAAACCTGAGTACAGGTGAGGAAGGAGGATCTGTGTGAGACCGATGAAGGGAAAGAGTGATATGCCTCAGTCAGAAGTGGTTATTTATACCTTACTCTACTCTCTAAGGAAATAAGTAACTGAATATCTAAGAAAATAAGTAACTGAACATACAATATGCTTCTTGTACAAATAAAATTTTATTTTATTTTATTGTTAACCCCAGAGTCATTAGGCTATTTGACTGTCAGAGTCTTATCCTCAGGACCACATAGTCCAACAAAGTAGCCTTATAGCACAGGCACAATATTGAGGGAGAGGTTAATTAGTGATTGGAATTAAATTTCTGGTGGCAGCATTACCTTCTAAAAGAAAGAGAGGTAAATATCAAAGAAAGTTCAAGACACACCATATCCAAACAAAATATAAGAGTATATACAATATACTTGTCACAGACCATTCATTTGCAGAAAGGGGAACACCTCCTCCCACTCTCTTTATTGCTTCCATCAGTGGGATTGCAGTCAAAAGGTATTTGAATTCATTTTATTGAAGGCTTTTCTAGTTACATTTGCCAAAAGTCAACCAAAAAGGGAATTAATCTCCACAGACAGTAACATACTTGAGTATATGCATCATTGAATGATCTCCTCTCCAGGAAACCATTGGCTGTAGAAACCCCTGAATGAATAGCCTTGATAAGCCCAAGGCTGCTGCTTCCTTCCCCAACAATCCCTCGTGGCAGTTTGTATTTAACACAATTCTTTTCAATCTCCAAATCTCTATTCTCTGAAACAGAACTAGCAAGTTGCCTATTCAGTCCAGCTCAGGGCTGCCAATAAAGAATGCAAACAAAGGCTTTCTTTCCCCCAAGGAGGCAGACTTACTCAATCTGTAAGCTGACTTTGTGTCCCAGGCAAAAGTAGTGTGTACACTGGTTCCTGGTCTTTCCCCTGTCCCATCCTTTGCCCTTCCTCCCCACACACCCTGGATCTCAATCATGCTGACTGTTCTACTTTCTCCTGTGTGTCCTTCCGCTGCCTTTTCCTCCATCTCCCTAATTCCCCTTTCACTCTCTTTTATCCCTGCCCCACATCAGGCATTGCTAATTTCTGCTGGGATAACAGGCTACAAGCAAGGCAAAGCATGTGCATCTTGCCAGGTATCCTGCCCTTCCCAATTTTGTTGGCTTGGAAGCCTGTCAGGCTGCAGACACTGGCCATGAGGCTAGGTACTACTTGTTGGGTGCCTGGTAAGAGGTCAGAAACCTCTGCACAGGCCTTTAGATATTGATGGGAAAGTAGGAACCAATAAACCAGTAGAATCCAATAGGTCTGGGATCCTACGCATGCTTATACTTACTTATTAGGTAGTAAGTATCTTGAGCTCACTTGCCTTGCTTAGGGTCAGAATGTAAATCCAAGGAATGGAACTTCTTCTGTACTGAGAGCCATAAAATGTGAACTGAATGAGAGCATCTTGTAGTTAACTTGTCTATTTTATATATGAATTGTTAGATAACTGTGGATATACATGTCTGTTTGTAGAGTAATAGAAACAGAGTAATTTCAGTACATGTTTCAAGGTAAACCTTTTGACTTCCACCCTCATTAGTAACTGTACATTAAATGGATACAAAAAATGATCATTTGGAATGCTGGGAGGTAAAAATTCATGAAGAGGGAAAAAGACAGACATGAGTGTTAAAGTGCTTATGAATTGTTATCCTGGTTAAGGTCATGTGAACTAAGAATTTTGAGTCTAGTTTTGCATGAATGAATAGGAGAATGAATAGCTTCCATTAAAGGAGCACCACAGGATATAATAGGGACACTATCTTTCACTATCATGCATCACATTCAGAAAACCACCCAATCAGTATAAATTGTTAGCTAAAGCAGCACTTAAACAAGATATTTGCAACCCAGCATGCCACCAGTGTAAATTAGTACATTATGTTATTTGCAGTTACTGCCAAGAAGCCACTTCTTTTAGGAGCACAATTGCTAATAAAACTGATTGCATTAGACAGTTGGTAATATGCACTTCCATCAGTGCAATCTATTTATGGAATGGAAAAAAATGGATGTCACATGAAATATGTAAGAAAATCTACAGTGGAGCTAAGAACAAGGAATTTGTCTTAACTAATGCGCATTATAGAAATTAAATAAGTTTTCTGCAAACAAAACCTGCATTTTTTACCCCTCCACCCCCATACAACTCTCAAACCTACAGCAACTTGTGGCAGAACAAATAGCACTAACAAGCTAGACAAAAAGAGAACTCTAAGTCCAGATGGCCTTAACTTGCAGAATAAATTGTATTAAACCAGTTGTACCTCTGTATTTTTTTCCCCTGAAGAATTTTTATCTCCTGGTATTCCAAATTGCCACTCTTCCTTTCCGCTTAACATTATAAATGCTGATAAGGGTGGAAGCTGAGGAATTTAGCTTTGAATATATTTTGAGAGTTAGTCTGTTTCTCTGTTTATATGTAAAAATCTTATCTTACAGGTTGAAGTCTATTGTTCAGGATGTTGCTAAAAATTATAGAGATCACTTCCACAGGTAAGTATGCATGCATTACGATGTATTATTTTTAGATTGTCCTTACTGTATTCAGTGTTAAGAAAAGATTTTGAACTCTAGCAGTTTTGATAGTGACATAAAGAAATTATTTGTGATATCTGGATAAAGCATCTTTATTTGAAAAACTCTTAAGTTTATGAGATAAATGGAAGAAACAGTATAGTAGAGTCCTATATATGTTACTTAGAAGTACCGTATTAAATTTAGTGGGGCTTATTTCTAAGTAAATAGGTATATCATGTTGCAGTGTAAATACCTTAATAATTTACCTTATTTACACTTTCAGATTGTGTGCATAGGCATGCCTCCACATGCATACTAGTCACAGAAAAATGTTTTATTTGTTTATTTAATTTAAAGTTAGTTTTATTTAAACTTTTAATTTTGTCATACCTTTCTGTGCAATGCTGCCCAACATCTATAACAATAAATAGGATAAGGTTCAACATAAAACAGAGTAAATTATATAAAACATGCAGAGGTATAAAACAGCAAAGTAAGATAAGATAAGATAAGATAAAAAAGATACTTACCTGTCACTTGAAAACCCCAGCAAAAGGGCTAAATGAGCCTTCCTAGGAAAAGTGTTTCAGAGCCTAGGTGCTAAAACGGTACTGCAATTCAGACATTGACAGGACAAAAAGAAATGTCACTGCTGGTCTTAAAGGTTCATAGCAGGAAAGGATGCTTTTCAGGTAATCCAGTCCCAAGTGATACAAGGTTTCATAGGTCCAAAGGTACACTTTGAATTGTTCCTAGAAATGACCTGGTAGTCATTGAAGGCATTGTAGCAAAGAAGTGTCATGCTTAATATAAACAACCTTGGCCAACAGCCTGTCTGCAGCATTCTAGACCAGCAGCCTCAAGATTTTGAACATGAATTCAAGTATTCAGTACCTAGGGTATGTTTTCAAAAGACTTCTAAATGATTTGACTTATTTTAGACACTGTTGTTGTTAAAAACTTCTAAGGGTTTTATTTTTTTTTAATCTGAGGCCAAATTCCCTAAACCTCTGCCTCAGCCAAATAGCCTTATAACTATATCCAGTTCTGGGGTACAGTTTTCTTTTGGTATCACTGTATGACTGGCTGCTTAGATGGTTTATCTGAATTTTTACTTCCTTTTGGTGTAATGTTCATCTGGCAAGAACCTAAGGTAACATCCTGGAATAAAACAACCAAGTGCTCCCAAATCCTGATCTTCACCAGTCACCTAATATTATCTCACAGAAAAAGAATAGCAAAATATTCAGGCCTTAGCTATTCCATTTTTCCTCAGCTTTCTCTAAGTCTCTTCAAATACTGCACACTAACTGTTAGATTGTCTTCATCTTTCTCCGTTGATTTCTTCTCTGACCTTGTAGTCTTCAGCTGTCATATTTTGTCATTGCACAACTGTTCTCTTATACCTAACTAGAATCCCCAGCCAATCAGAATCAACTTTACCTGAACCAGGCCCCATTTAACAATATTCAAAGCTTTTTTCGCTTCCTCCTTCTTAATGTCACTACACATGCCTTGGACCATAGCAAAACCAAACCTCAGGCCTGCACAGATAGATTTTAATTTCACAGAGACCACACAAGTACATATTACAGCTCCATAATAGTTATATATAGGCATTTCTGCTCATCTTAAGCCCTAACTGGATACTTGTCCATAGGGACAAGTATTTGTTCTTTACCCTCCCTTCAAATATCAAAAATGGATAGACAGTGGTCTGCTCAGTTAGGAATAGATATGCTCAAAGGAGTTATATATATTAGCAGAGCGAGTTAAATCTGTTGATGCTAGAATTTGGTTTATCATCTCCCATATCTACTCAGAGTAGTTAACCACATTGATTGCTAATTGTAGCTCCAGTGGCCATCCATTTGCAGAAACAGCCAATAGAGCATAAAGTGCAAGATCCTTTCTCTTGTTTTAGCGTTTGGATACACGGACACAATGTCAAATCCTTGGTTGCAGTTATTAAAGATTGTCCTGACACCATCATTCTCAGTACAGTTCTTTTGTTCACAGAGATCAAGGTCCAGCAAAGGAGATAGCAAAGTCCTAGTGTAATGTTGCCACCCATGGATTTCATTTAACTAAGGCAGTTACTTAGAATGGTGTATGCTACTACTGAAGCAAATGAGCTAGTGTTTAGGGGAATGCATAAATAGCTTAGAATATATTTAAGCTATTTATGTACTTCCTTAAACTTTCAGTCCCTTCTAGCTAGACATTGTGTCCTCATTCTCTGCCTGGACAAATTCTGTGGTAAGAAAAAAAGGTAGTAGAACCTTATTGTTGCCAGGACCCAAGACTGCTACCAGAACCCAGGTTAAAAACTATTGAAGTTTCTTCCCAGCTGAGCTGTGGTAACTGGGGGAAGAACATTTGGGGAACTGGAAAAGGCTGGAATTGCCTATAAGGTATATGCCAGGCATAGGGCTGCTTCAGCTCTCTTCATCCTCTCCTTTTAGTTCCAAAGCTGTATTCTGTACCTTTCTGTACATACTTCTGGCTTTCCCTTAGCTAGATATTAGCAAGCCCTCCCTCATATGCACATGTTCCCCTAAAATCTGTCTGAGCCTGAAACAAGTTTTAAGTAAATGTCAAAACTCAGTTTCCCTGGATGACTTATAGCATTCAGCATTTTTTATGCAGCTGTAGAAAACTTGTGCAGTGGATCACTTGTGGAGTGGATAAAGCAATTGAACAAGATCCTTTTTTTGCCAATTCTATTTTGCAGTGAAAATAGTGTGAAAATATATATTGTGAGAATATTAAAAACGGGATGGTTAAGCATAATCTACTAGGACTAGAGAATGGGAAGATAGTCCACAAAGCAGTAGTGCAGGGACTTTTATGTTGCACAGACTCTACATGCTTCCTGCTTTCTCTTAGTAGAATGAGATCAGTTATTTATGTATGATTGTATTTTGACTTGTATATGACTGTATCATCAGAAGTCATTCATTACTGGCATCAAATACACAATTATTTACATAATAGAACAAATACAAAAGTAAATAGTCCTAAATGGGGTTGCACTCCCTCTGAGGGACAGGGTTTGCAACTTAGGAGTGCTCCTCAACCCTGAGCTGTCTCTAGAAGCTCAGGTGACGGTGGTGGTGAGGAGGGCCTTCCTTCAGCTTTGGCTGATACATCAGCTGCGTCCCTTCCTGGAGAACGACTGCCTGGCGACAGTGACACACACGCTGGTAACTTCCCGATTAGATTTCTGTAACGCGCTCTACATGGGGCTACCCTTGAAGACGGTCCAGATACTTCAATTGGTGCAGAATAGAGCTGCCAGGTTGCTGACGAGGACTGGGTGTTGTTCTCATATAACCCCAGTTCACCGTCAGCTCCACTGGCTCCCAGTTGAAGTCTGGGCTCAATTCAAGGTGTTGGTTATGACCTATAAAGCCCTAAACGGCTTGGGTCCTGGGTATCTAAAGGAACGCTTGCGCCTATATATGCCCTCCCGTCCCTTGAGATCAGCAACAGCTGCCCTTCTTCGGGAACCCTCTGTGAATGATATTAGGAGGGTGAGTACCCGGAGGAGGGTTTTCTCTGTGGTGGTGCCCCATCTGTGGAATGCGCTCCCCAGAGAGGTCCGCCTGGCGCCGTCGTTATTTGTTTTTCAGTGCCAGGCTAAGACCTTTTTATTTAAAACTTATTTTAATTGTTAAATTATTTAATTAATAGGATTTTAAATTTTTAGCCAAGAATGCACTGGGGGTTTTTAAACAATTTTTTTAAAAAATTGTTGTATTGTTATTATTTATGTATTTATGTATTCTTTGTGAGCCGCCCCGAGGCTTTGTTGCAATGGGGGCAGCATAGAAATGTTTTAAATAAATAAATAAATAAATAAATTGCAGTGTTGTTCATCAACTTGTTCAAGTTTTAGGATCATGTCTTCTAACAGAGAATTTGAGTGATGTGTGGTGGTGTATATCAACAGGCTTTGACCAAAAGGCAAAAAAGAGGCACCAGCACTCTTAGGGGAACCCCAAGCTTTGCAGAAAAAATCCCTAAAAAAGCAAAACAAAACCTAATAGAGTAGTTCCTTTTAACACCACCTATTCAAAGATTCTATGAAAACTAAGCATGCTCATAGGAATAAATTACATAATATACTTTTAGAATGCTTACATATAGTTACATGCAATACTTATGTTATTGTGGTAGAGGGAATTTCTGAAAAAGAGCACATTTTAGATGTGATGACACGTAGCAGCATTTTACTGGAAGCCCTGTGTCTTACCTAAGTATCAAAATACGTTGACTTGTAATTGTATGTAAGGATATTGTATGCTGAAATCAACTTAAATAATCTAGTTAGAACTTAAAGTATTTTGTATAAAACATAGTCAGTAAGCAGAGGCTATCATTAACAGAAACAAGGGAGAGTGATTTTACCCTCTTTTGCAGCTCCACCTGTTCCTGAAAATTTACTCCAAAAGATTGGGGGAGCCTCTGGAACCACATTTGCAAAACACAGCCTATTTGTCTGTATTTTAAGTTTAATGTACAATTTTGTGAATTTCCTGTTTACAGGAACTTCCAGTTTGGTCACATGGATGGAAATGAATACATTAATAGTTTACTAATGGAGTAAGTATATGGCTTTATGAAATTCTATGCAATTAGTTAATGACTTCTACATGTAGTATAATTCCTGTTACTCTTATATACAGAAAATAGGTTTATAAGCTGCTAAAGATGATGGTTAACTGCTAAATTTGAACACTGTATGATGAAGCGTTTAAATCTGGTCTTGTTCAGTGTATGTTGGAAAGTTTTGCATGGTGGCTCTAAGGAACTCTAAGGTTGTCTTGTACCTGGAAAATAGTCCTGTAAGTTGTCTGTGTCAGTTATACTCATTTCTCAGATTTATTGTTCGTGCATTTTTGTAATTGTTTTATTTTTAAATATTTGGCTTGAAGCCCTTTATAATACAATGAGGCATGAATGCTATAGTTAAGCAAGAAAAAATATTTGAAGTTTGTACATCACTTTCCCACTAGATGGCAATATTGGATAGCAGGCAGAGGAGTTGAAAATAAAGCTGACACTCATTTGTACTTTATATTATAAGAATTGTACCATCACTTTTATTTATTTTTTTTTGCTTTTACATACTCACTGAAACTTCTTTTGTAATCACATACATTTGGGGAGTAAGAGAGGAGTATGAATCTGTCATATGTTGAAGGTGAATCAGAAATACACCTATGGTGTTGCATTATGAACTTTTTCAATGGAATAATATCCTTCTTAGCCCTTACGCTTTATCAGAAGCTTTCCACTGTCACATATATAGCTCATAGAAATGAGCTGCTCTATTCAGTTCTGGCTGTTAAGTTTCCATAAGTAATAGCAAAGGAAGTTTAGCTCTCCTTATCTTAGCCTACATGAGAAACCGAAATAATGTAAAAAAGGCCAGCTACTTGGTTCCAGGCATGTGGCTTGTATGGCAAATTACTGCATAATTGGTGGAAGATACTGCTGACTTACTGCAGTGAATTACAATTACATATTTAGGCACATTGTAGATGTTAGCAGGAAGCCCAATGCAACTACTAAAACAATCTAGGGAAACTTTATGACCATCTGTTCTTGTGACCTTCATCATCCTTGAACCACATGTCTTGCTGACCACTATTTTCTTATGGATTCAGTTGTAGTATCTCTAGTACCTCATCCTAGTCAACCACTGAGTAAGTATTAAAACTGCACAATTAGTATCTGGTGTAGGATAATAAAGCCGGGAATCAGTGCATAGACATTAGGCAGAATGTGGTAGAACTCTTCAAAATTCTTGGACTCTTAAGATTAGATAACCACCACTGTGCTATTTCATAACACAGCAGAGTGGAAGGGGCCATGAAGGCCAATGGATCTAACCTGCTATTTCAGGATGCCAAGTCACACCATCCCACTCAGATGACTGTCCAGTTTCTTTTTGAATGTCTCTAGTGTGGGAGTTCCCACAACCTCTCTAAGCAACTGGTTCCACTATCATATTGCTCTGACAGTGAGGAAACTTTTCCTGATATTTAGCCTAAACCTGGGTTGTCACAACTTCACTTGATTATTCCATGCCCTACACTCTGGTATCAGCCAGAAGAGATCTTGACCTTTCACTTTGTGACAGCCTTTGAGGTACTTGAATTACTGTTTGATCTTTATGTAAGAAATGAACTGTTTAACCAATCCCATGGATATAAAATGGCTATATTTAAGGTCTACAGGATACTAATAAAAGTATGTATAGTCAAGGCTATGGTTTTCCCAGTTGCAATGTATGGCTGTGAAAGTTGGACCATAAGGAAGGCTGAGCGCCGAAGAATTCAGGCCTTTGAATTGTGGTGCTGGAGGAGACTCCTGCGAGTCCCTTGGACCGCAAAACGATCAAACCAGTCAGTCCTACAGGAGATCAACCCTGACTGCTCTTTAGAAGAGCCTAGTGCTGGGAACAATAGATGGCAAAAGAAGAAGGGGATGGCAGAGGATGAGGTGGCTAGATGGAGTCACTGAAGCAGTCAGCGTGAGCTTAAGTGGATTCCGGGGGATGGTGGAAGACAGGAAGGCCTGGAGGAATGTTGTCCATGGGGTCGCAATGGGTCGTACACGACCTCATGACTAACAACAACAACAAGATACTAATAAGACCAAGTTGTTGCAATATCTACTTCCTATTTTTTTCTAATGCCCACAAATAAATAAATAAATAAATAAATTCCCCATGCTTTTCATTTATGAACTATAGGCTGATAAGGGCTTTAAAATGAGTTGTTTGGTTTTTACTGTTTTAGTGATGTGAAAATCCCCACTATTGTTGTACTGAACACATCCAATCAACAGTATTTCCTACCCCATAAACCTATTGAGAACACTGAGGATATGGTCCAGTTCATTAATGAGATCTTGGAAGGCACTGCAGAAGTAAGTCTTTCTGTATACTAAAACCTCTTCATAGCTTTATGAATTATCCAAATCTGGTTAAACAATTCACTAGCTTTTCTACTGCATTTCCATTGTTTTAGATTAACTTCAGCTTCTTGAAAAGTAAAAGCAAAGGAGTCTTGAGAACATTACTAGCATTTTAGTATTTGGGTGCATCTGTAGTATAATTAACTGTATTATGCTGATCCATTGGTAGACTTTAGTAGTGCTAGAAATGAATGGTATTGTGAGAAAGAGAACACTGAAAAGAGTTAAGAAAGTGAGCAAAATAGGCTCTGTGCTGAGAAAGATACATGGATAAATGAATAGTTAAATCACAGTACTACTTACTAAAAGTAAAAGTGCTAACCAATAAAAGTAAAAGTAAAAGTGCTACACTCAATATGCCAGCAAATTTGGAAAACTCAACAGTGGCCACAGGATTGGAAAAGGTCAGTTTACATTCCGATCCCAAAGAAGGGCAATGCCAAAGAATGTTCAAACTACCGCACCATTGCACTCATTTCACATGCTAACAAAGTGATGCTCAAAATCCTACAAGCTAGGCTCCAGTAGTATGTGGACCGAGAACTACCAGAAGTACAGGCAGGATTTCGAAGAGGCAGAGGAACTAGAGATCAAATTGCCAACATACGCTGGATCATGGAGAAAGCTAGGGAGTTCCAGAAAAACATCTACTTCTGCTTTATTGATTATGCTAAAGCTTTTGATTGTGTGGATCACAACAAATTGTGGCAAGTTCTTAAAGAGATGGGAGTACCAGACCATCTTATTTGTCTCTTGAGAAACCTATATGCGGGTCAAGAAGCAACAGTGAAAACTGCACACAGAACCACTAATTGGTTCAAAATTGAGAAAGGAGGTCGGCAAGGCCGTATACTGTCACACTGCCTATTTAATTTATATGCAGAGCACATCATGAGAAAGGTGGGCCTAGATGAATCACCAGTTGGAATTAAGATTGCTGGGAGAAAGATCAACAACCTCAGATATGCAGATGGTACCACTGTCATGGCAGAAAGTGAAGAGGAACTAAAGAGCCTCTTGAAGTGGGTGAAGGAGAAGAGTGCAAAAGTTGGCTTGAACCTCAACATTAAGAAGACTAAGATCATGGCATCCAGTCCACTCACTTCCTGGCAAATAGAAGGGGAAGAAATGGAGGTAGTGACAGATTTTATTTTCCTGGGCTCCAGGATCACCGCAGATGGGGACTGCAGCCAAGAAATTAAAAGACGGTAGCTCCTGGGGAAGAAAGCCATGGCAAATCTAGATAGCATACTAAAAAGCAGACGCATCACCGTGCCAACAAAAGTGTGTACAGTGAAGGCTATGGTTTTCCCAGTTGCAATGTATGGCTGTGAAAGCTGGACCACAAGGAAGGCTGAGCGCCAAAGGATTGAGGCCTTTGAATTGTGGTGCTGGAGGAGACTCCTGCAAGTCCCTTGGACCGCAAGGTGATCAAACCGGTCAGTCCTAGAGGAGATCAACCCTGACTGCTCTTTAGAAGGCCAGATCCCGAAGATGAAACTCAAACACTTTGGCCACCTAATGAGAAGGAAGGACTCCCTGGAGAAGAACCTAATGCTGGGAACAACAGATGGCAAAAGAAGAAGGGGACGGCAGAGACTGAGGTGGCTGGATGGAGTCACTGAAGCAGTTGGTGTGAGCTTGGGTGGACTCCAGGGGATGGTGGAGGACAGGAAGGCCTGGAGGAATGTTGTCCATGGGGTCGCGATGGGTCGGACACGACTTCGCGACTAACAACAACAACCTACTAAGTATTTGGCAAAATTTAAAAAAAAACTATGAGAGGAGCTCTAACAGTACATCTCTTTTAAGCAAACCCTTCTGACAATGCTCAAAATACAAAGTGCAGATCTTCCTGCCTTTAGAAGGCAATTACCTCAGTGGAAAAGTGGTAGCTATCTAAGTAATTACTGGTAAGGCCAGTAAGGTGAATGAAAGTTGAAATGTAAGTGAATACTGCTGATGACTGCTTTTACCTTTCATATTTTAGGCACAGGGAGGAGATGGAATTCTTCAACGAATTAAGAGAATAATTTATGATGCCAAGTCTACTATAGGAGTAAGTGAATTCTTATCAAATTTAAAATAGGTACAGCATCCAAATGAGCCCACTGAATTTTCATTTGATCACACAAGTCTAGCGTGGAATACATTTCTTATATTAATTGCTCATAATTTATCATTGTTTTAAAACAATTTTTTCAGCCTAGGGATTGTGGGACAGGAATTAGTGGATGATTTGAATTTTTTATTATGAAACAGATGGAGCATTAATATCTTGTCAAAATCAACCTCTCCTTGTTAAGTCCTATCCATTCAGCCATATTGTTTATCAAAACTCATTGTGTGGGTTGCTGCCATGACATTACAAAATATTAAAAAAGAAGAAAATAGAGAAGATAGCTAGTACACTCTTCCATTGGCAGCTTAGCTACATAGTAATTATTTGTTTCCTCCTCCTCCTTTACTTCTTCTAAATTTGCGCTCTTTCAGGAATACCCCTTTCCATCCAAAATTGCATTGAATCATCCAAAGGTTTATTAACTTTTATTAATGCATATTCAATAAGCAGGTCCCAAATCTCATAAAACCTTTCCTATTTGTCAACTCTTTTTTCAACTTAGAATTAACAACTATGTTTCTAATTTCTTTATACCTTCAGTTAACTGGAAATCCCATTTCGCCTTCCGATTCTTTTCTATTATTAATCTTGCTGTTGCAGCAGCAAGATGGATCCATACTCTTAGCGGCTCAGTTTTCTGAAAATTTGCAGTGTATTGCTGGCACTCTGTATGCCAGCTACTGCTGGATTTTTTAGCTGAGTCTTCAGATGCCTGGTCCCCTACCCAATAGTGTTGTTCTTCAGCTCCCATTACCCATAGGATGGTGGGCACCTGAAGGCTGTTGTAACTGTATGAGGATAGCATTCACTCAGACTATAAGCTGTTCCTGTACTTACTGCATATACTTTACTATCTCACCCAGCTTTTCTTTTTCTGAACTGATGATTGAATCTCAGTGAAAATCTGGATGTTGGGTGGTCCTACCAGAAACACAAATAGCTACCATAACAACAATGATTTTTTCACATGGTTGTTAAATAGATACTCTCATAACTACTTTTTGGGTTTGCTCTAAGATTAAATAATTAAGGTAGTTTTAGTAATTTCTTAGTGATTTGTCAAAAGCAAAAGGGTAGAGGGAAGATACACTGTTGGGTAAGGTGGAAAAACTCTCAAGACTATTGTAGTTGGACAGTATAGAAAAGTTTTAAATGAATGAATAGGAGACTTCAGCAAAATGAACGTAAATTCTAAAACATAAATACTACGCCCAACATGACGTAAATGGAGTTCTACTCCCAGAATGAGAGTTTAATTTCATTTCATTTCCTTCTCACTGCACACTCCTCCACCCTTCTAGAACAGACTTGGGGAATGTAGCAAAAGCTGCAAGGTACAGATAACGCACAGATCTGCCAGCTGTGTTTGTCCTTCTGGCAGAAAGTCACCCTAATTTTTGGATAATAACCCTAATTTTTTAAAAAAAAATTAAGATAAGCGCTGCAGTGCACCTTTTATTTCACAGTTTAACTATACTTAGGATGTTCCAGTAATGAGAACTTCAACCTAGCGCCATGGCTCAGTAGGAAAAGGGGCATGGCTCAGTAGGAAAAGGAAGGACTGCAGGAGAAACTCAAATATAAGGCTATGTTAGGGAAGAATTTGTGATTTTCACACAGAGATTCTCAGTACACATGAAGGAATGTTTATGCATTGTTTGGGAAAGCACCTTCAAAATACTCCAAATGTTGTGAAAGTGTCACTGATGGTTGTTTAATTCTCAACAGTCTGTTTTCAGGACTTCCCCCCTTCTGGGCTGCTTTCTGTTTGGTCTACCACTGGGTGTCATCAGCATCATGTGTTACGGGATTTGCACTGCTGACCCTGAGGGAGGATCAGATGAAGTAGAAAGATCTAAGAAGGATACTACAGGTAGGGATCTGACTGATGAAGACACTGAAGAAGAACAAGAGGAGGAAAACAACGAAAGCCTGGTAGAACTTCCAGATGGAGAACAAGAACAGAAAAGCATATTAGAAAAGAAAAAAGACTAAATTGCTTAATTAAAAAGTTGTTTTCTGTAGAACTTCCAAATAGAGACTTATTTATTGAATTCAGTTATTTACCTGTGACCTTCAGAGATGAGGACCATTTTGCCTGATTTACATGCATGCATTCAAATTGCTTGGCTGTGAAGAGGAATGGGTGAGAATCTGGATTTTGAAGTCTTATACAAGCTTTTTACTGCTGGAAAACACATTAGATTTGTGGGTTATTTTACATGGATGCAGACTGCAGTTGGATGAAGAAAATGTGTGTGTGGGGGTGGGGTTTGGTCTTATCTCCAGTCTCGTGTTTTTAACAATGTGGCAAAATAAATGCAACTTTATTCTTGTTAATACACAGGGTTGTTTTCAGCCTGGAGTGAAATATTACTGAGCGTTAGAAACAGTTAACGGGTAACATGCCTTTGGGAAGTTTCATAAGTGTATTTTTATTTTAGTTAGTATAGTTTCTGAAAAGTTATACCTTCTTGAATTTTGGATTTTAAAAGAAAAAGTCTAAATTTAATGTTATAAAAGTCTTAAGGCAGAACTAAAGACAAGTATTGCAGACCCCCTAGAATTCCTTTGTAAAGTAAGTCCAGTAATATTTATTTATTTGATGCATGATTTAGGGGTTCATTTGATAATTGCATTATTCTGTTCCATTATTAAAGATTTACTTCTGTATTTAACATACAAAAAAAAATTCCTTCCTTCTAAAGGATATTTCCCCAATCTTAATTACTTGACAAATCTGGGCCCTCCATTTGTCTATGGTAACATTAATAGAATCATTTATGTGTGTAGTGCACAATTCATGATAAACTTTTCTTTAATATGCCAAAATATTTTTCAAGCAGGTTAAATAATTTTGCTACCACTTTAGTTTCTTCAGTTGGAAAATACTTATTTGAACAAACATTTCATTGGCTTGTTAAACATAGACATGTGCATCTGATATCTGTGTTGACTACATGGTGATTGGGGAGGGCAAGTTAATTATCTGTAGCATTGTTGGCATTAATAGAACTGGGGTGTACACTGGTGTAATCCATTTTCATTAGCTGTTTAATCATATAAGTCATCTCTAATACTGCCCCATGACATTGAAAGGGTCTAAACTCACTCCAGAGTTAAGATCTCAAGGGATAAGCTGTAAGATGATGTGTGGAGTATTGATGCCATGATGATTACCATAGCAACCAAGCCTACACTGCTCATTTTCAGGATTAAGGCTATGTCACATTCAGTTTGAAAACTGAAAAATACAAGATTCTAAGCCTGTGGGTCATGGTATAAGTATTCTCTCTCTCTCTCTCTCTCGCTCGCTCGCTCGCTCGCAAATAAATTTTCAGCTTGACTTAAAGAAGGTTAAGGGATTGTTGCATACACATATTGCATTCTATGGAGAGACACAAATCTGACTCTGTAAAACAAAACCACTTTCTAACACTATCTTTCTAACAACTCTTTGTCTTAGAATGATTTTTGGAAGGAAACTAACACAATTATTTTAAAAACATGGAAATCTTCCTCCTTGGTAAAAGTGAATATTGCACTTTTCAAAAATGATACTATGAGGAATCTAGTGTCTGAAATTACTCAAAAACTATCGTATTTCATGTGCAGTTCACAGAAATCATCTAACTGATATATACAGAAAGTTTAGGTTTGTTTGTTTTTTAATATAAGGCAAGTTATAAATATTGAAAGGATCTTTTACAAACTCTTTGTTCCCAGAGTGAGACACCAGAGTTGGAACAGTTGTGTCCTGCTTTTTAGTTTTTTCACAGAATATAGGTTTTTTTTTCCATTAGCTGCCAAACTGTTCTAAAAACTCCAAAGCATAAAAACAGCAATTTAGCATGTGCTGCTTCAAACCTGGGTTCTTGGAAGAGTGTTGGTTTTCCTCAGAATAATAGAAATAACATGTCATATTAGGTTGACGTTACATATTACATGCGGAAAGAGGTTTAATGAATGTCAAGGAAAGAAATTGAACCCATTTCACATGCCGCCTTAATTATATTTGCTCCTTTAGCTGCAAATAGCATCAATTTGCTCCAGTTTTTCCGGTGCTGGGTTTGAGAGTGTGTGCTTTCTTAAGAGAACCGATTCTGCTAGCATCTATTTCCATTATATAATATTAAGATTTTGAGTAATTCAGATGGTAACACTGAAAAGACACATGTGTTTACCATTCTGCTTATGAAATGTTAAAGCCCCTGGTGTTTACCAAACTGTAATTTACTGCTATTTCATTCCAGCTTCACAACAGTGCAGTTAAATGATAATGAAGAGTTCGTGGTATAAAACAAAATGACTATTTTTGATCATGTAAAGAGCGTCACACAGAGTGACATCTATTTTAACTTGAATTGGAAGTGCTCTAAGAATGTAAGCTTTATTTTACCTTGTTGGGTTTATCAACTGTAATTTTTTTCTACAATAATAAAATATTTAAAACACATTTTCATTCCTTGGTGTTGCATTTGTATGAAGCTTAACATAGATCTTTATAATTTAGAGATTTAAGAGCATAAGAATAGGACTGTTGGATCAGGCAGAGCTGTGTTTTGTTGTCTACAGTGGCCAACAAAATGCCTATGAAAAACCTGCAAGCAGGATGTGCTGTAAATCAGTGACTCTGCTGCTGGTCTTCACCAACTGGCATGTTCCCTCCCATCCTGAAGGAAGGTTAAACATCACAACTAGTAGCCATGGACATACTCAGTGAATATGTATAATCTCCTTTAAAAACCATCTGAGTAAGTGGCCATCACTATGACATGCAGAGTGAAAGATATAGTTAATGCATTTTGTACTAAATCTCATATTTATCTGCCCTGTATGTTTCACCATTCAACTGATAATTTGACCTAAACAACCCAAACATTTTAACTTTTTAGTGTAAGGACATTGGTTCAACCTCCTGGTCATTTTGGCTGCCCTCCACTTTTTCCAACTTTATGATATATTTCCAGAGGTTCAGGGATCAGAATTGTACACAATATTCCAAATGCTGTGACATCATAGAATACACAAGGGCATTGTGCTATGCTCTAGCATATTTTCATCTTTCACAATAACCAACACACCGTCAACATTTTTCTTGAGCTAACCATCAAGATAATTTCAGTGCCACTCAGATGCTGTCTGGGTATATGTGAAGCTGGGGTTATTTTTACCCTAATGTGCATCACTTGACATTGAAACATACTTTTTGTGGTATGTTTATCACAAACACATACTTAAGGCTACAGTGAGATGACTTTATACATAGACATCAGCAGATGGCCAATACAGAAATTAAATAGACTATGTAATTGGAACCAGGAGATGGAGAAGGTGTATTCTTGCTGCCAAAGCATGGCTGGGAGCAGATTGCAGTAGTGAGCTGAGTAACCACAGTAAAGCTGAGAAAAGATCACCAATAGAAATACAGTGCCAAAATACAACTTAGTAACATCCTTGTGGAATTTAAAGTCCACATGCAGAGCAGATTTGCATTACTTCACTGATTATGAGCCAGAAGAATTGTGGACTGAATGAAAAAAGAAAAAAATTCTTGTAACAAAAAGAAAAAGTCCAGATGGATGACGAAACAATTGTGAAGGTCAGTTGAGAAGCAAACTGATTGAAATATGGTCAGAATCCTGAATGCAACTTTTCAGTGACTATCATGTAGGGAGGAAAAGAATTGAATGACCAGTGCAAAGAAAATAGAGCAACAAAGAGGAAAACAAGACCTATTCCAGAAGATTCAAGAACTCAAATATTAGATTAGGCATGCTAAAAGGCACCACCAGGAGAAAATAAAGAAAGTGGAAAGAATATGCAAAAGAACTATATAGAATGACAGACTTCTTCAAGAAGAGCCTGCCTTATTAGTGAACTGAAAGTTGTTCTGAACGTAATTGGAAGGACTAAAGCACCCAGAGCAGGAAGGACACCGATAGAAGTATGCCAAGCTGAATTGGTCCAAATACTATCAAGAGTATTCCAACAAATACGGAAAACCAATGGACACAGACTACAAACATTTATACATTTCAATTCCCCAAGAATATTACCCCAGATGGAAAGAAAAATGCCTGATGATCAAAAGCTGGATTCTGAAAAGGAAGAGGCACTCAAGATCATATCAGAAATGTATGTTGGCTACTGGAGTGCACCAAAGAATTTCAGAGGAAGATCAATCTGTGTTTTATAGACTGCAGCAAAGCCTTTGGCTGTGTGGACTACAAGAACTATGAATGGTACTGAAAGAAATACATATGCCTTAGCTCTTGATTGTACTGATGTGTAACCTGGATAATAGCAAAGAAGCTACTGTAGTATGGAGGAACAGAATGGTTTCCCATAGGCAAAGGCATCAGACAAGGTTAGATTTTATCTCCTCATCTGTTCAGTCTGTATGCATATAAGGAAAGCTTGATTAGAATCAGAGGAAGGATTGAAAATTGATGAAAGACACATCAGTAATGTAAGATATGGAGATGGCACCATACTACGGGCAGAAAGCAGCAATGAATTGTGAAAGATTTTGCATACCTTGACTTAGTCTTCAGTTCAAGGGGAGACTGTAGCCAAGCAAATCGAAGAAGACTAAGACTTGGGAGGGCAGCAATGAAGGAACTAGCAAAGATCATCAAGTGTAAGGACATTTGGAGACCAAAGGTAAGATCATACACATTATTGTGTTCCCAATCACTATTTATGGAAATGAAATGTAGGCAATGCAGAAAGTTGACAGGAAGAAAATCAATGCTTTCTAAACAGGGTACTGGAGGAGTGCTTTGTGAATATCCTGGACTGACAGAAAGATGAACAAGTTGGGTCTAGATTGTATCATGCCAGAGGTTTCCTTAGAAACAAAAATGACAAAACTGAGGCTGTTATACTTTGGGCAAAACTCCCTGGAAAAGACAACCACGCTAAGGAAAGTTGAAGGCCAAAAAAGAAAAGGAAGACCAAAGATGAAAAGGACTGCCTCCATTAGGAAACCAGACTTGAATTTGCAGAACTGAGTAGGGCTGCCATGTATAGGACAATCTGTAGGGCTTTTTTTCACAGCATCACCTTAAGTCAGAGATGATTTTTCCACACCATGCATAATTTTAAAAAATTCGTTCACATCTCCTCTTACCTTTTTTAAAATAAGTTACACAGTCCCAGTTGTTGTAGGCATTGCTCATAATGGAGTTGTTCCAGCTCACTGATCATTTTAGTTGTCCTGCAACTAAATGTGTTCTTATATTCCTCCACTGCAATAATTGTCTGTTTATCGCTATTCTCTGCTTTTCTGTCTTGTTCATTAACCATTAAGTGGGCTTTCTTTCTTAGTCCATGATTGTGAAGATTCCTTGAAAGCCTATAGTGAGGTACCTTGTCAAAAAGAGAAGGAGCTACTGCACTTCATATTCTCATACAGTTGACTGTTCTCTTAGTAACAAAATGCTGGACTTGATGGGCCTTTGGTCAGATCCAGCAAGCATACCTGCTTTTTTTTTTTTTTTTTTTGAGCTTTTAGAACAATTGCCAATACTATATCACTCCCATCTGTATACTTATTGACATAAAGAACTGAAAAATATCAGAGTACCATCAATGGTTTCACTCATAATGTTCCATGATCGAAGTCATAGTACCTCTGAATCATTGTAATTGGGGAACATTAGTGGGGGATAGCATTTAATTCCATTCTAAAGTTGCTCTTTTGATTCCAGCTAATGGAAACAGGAATTCTCAAGTTGTGATCAGAATAAAAAGTTTTGGTTGGGTAGATTTTCTGTGCAACTAACCTGTTGGTGCCTTGGATAATTTGTTTTGTTTCAAAAAAGAATAGAAAAATATAAGTGGTTTGGTTTGAAAACAATGTTCATTTTCTGTGGATCTTTTTAATAGAAGATAGAGGCTTTTAGTGGATTTTGTTTGAAAACTCATGACCACCTCAGACTGTGAGCAGTGTGCCTTCCATATTTTAAGCTTGATATGTGGCTTTCTTCTTCAGCACAGTGGAAATGGATGTTTTCTCCCGTGTTTATATTAAACTTGCTGGACCCTAGTCTTAGGTAAAATGCAACTAGAAACCTCTCAGAAATTTCAAACACAGGGAATTGGTTACAGAAATAAAAATATTAACACTTTATAGGTGCAATCCTGTGGTCCTAGGGAAAGTCCATACAATATTTACACATCTGTCTCCATGTTGTTGTTGTTAGTCACAAAGTCGTGTCCAACCCATTGCGACCCCATGGACAACATTCCTCCAGCCCTTCCTGTTGTCCACCATCCCCCGGAGTCCACTTAAGCTCACACCAACTGCTTCAGTGACTCCATCTAGCCACCTCATTCTCTGCTGCCCCTTCTTCTTTTGCCATCTATTGTTCCCAGCATCAGGCTCTTCTCCAGGGAGTCCTTTCTTCTCAATAGGTGGCCAAAGTATTTGATTTTCATCTTCAGTATAGGCAAACTTAATTTCACAGGTTGTTATGGAGGTCTATTAATGAAGGTCTCCATATCACAGAAGCACAATGAGCCTCCACAATCACTGCACCACTGGTGGTTATCCTACAATTCAGGGCCCTGGAATGGAGTATGTCAGGTGAGGCTGTGAGGATACTAAGTTGTCTTCATTGTCCCCTAACATGCCCCCAAACAATCCAGAAACTACACCATTTCTGTAGCTAGCATACCACCACCACCATTGCAACATACAGATCAATGGGGAGATGTAACAAACAGTAGCAATGAAAGCAGTGAAAGAGAGGAAAGGAAGAAAGCACACACTAGGCTTCAATGGAAGGGAAAATGAAAAAGAGAGAGAATTGCTCTTTCCAAAATCACAGTGAGCAGCTTGGAGAGCACTAGATATGCCCTGTGCTCGCGTTAAGTTTGCTGTATAAATTCAATCACAAACAAGCACTCTCTTAGCTATACTATTCTTTCATTTGAGAAAGTTTGCTCATCAACCTGGAACAACAACAACTTGCGTAATGGAGTGAAGACATCACATTTTGGGATTTTGTAATATATTTGGACTTTGATCAATTTTATTAATCTAGTGTGAGGAGAATCATCTCAGTTATGGCATCTTTAAAACCTTTTTCTGTTAAAGAGAGAAAAAAAGATGACCAAGACATTTTTCCCCATGGTTATTCTTCTGTGGTTTGGTATGGTTGTGAGAAATGGGTATTTTCTAAGGTTTCCCCCTTCCCTTTTCCAAGTGCCTGCTTATTCTTTCACTGTTACTTTTGTCTAATTGTTTTGTTTCTATGTATTTTTTCTGAGGATTTTCAGGGTAGAAAAGCCCCCTCAAAGCAATGAAAAATAAATAAAACACAGAAAACATTTACATAAAAACAGAGCATGAAACAACTCAAGCCTGCATCAGCAATCTACCAAAATAATATAAATTAATAAATGGGTGGATTAAACATCCAGGCTCAAATTGCTAATGGAAAGTGG